TATATTACATTGTACTGTATTGTGCTCCATCTTGCATACAGATAGACTTATGAACTAACTCCAGTTTGTAACCCAGGGACTGCCTGTAACATGCACACGCACACATATACACACAAAAATGCAGTCACAATTACGAGGTAGGGAAATGAAGGAGGCAATGTGAGCAAGCAATGGCACAAGGGATCAGCTCCTTTAAAAAAAATACAATTGAGGGATAAATGTTAAACAGAAAAAACTATACGAGCACCTCTTTCCCTCCTGGAGTCTTTTCCATCTAAAGGCACAAATAGAGTTATTCTTCATCTTATCTAACGGAAGAGCGTGAAGATACAAACAGTGTTTGTAGGGCAACATTTCTACAAAAAACTCAGGGGGAAGTGAATGCTGCAAGATATGTATCAAGTGTCAGCCTTGGTTCAGTAGTAGAATGTGCCTCTGATTCAGCAGGTGGTGGGTACAAAGCCAACTCCCTGTACTCAATTACATAATCTAGGCTGATTCATTTCGACAGAGCGCTGAATTGTCAGAGATGTTACATGTACGATAAAATTTTAAGCCAGGATCAGATCAGAAAAGTGAAACTGGAACAGCAAAACACATCCCATTTCAACACACGCCGAAATGAACCATAAAATAAATATCTGGCCTTTCATCCCATTTACTAAACGTCAAATCTTGCTAACATAAATGCAGTTAACACTACAAATCATTTTACATGGACAATGTAAAAGGCAATATATAAATACAACTTCCTTCCTGGACGCTTCTTGTAAAGTTATTCAGAGCCACGTCTAAGCTACTGGGAAACAATATGTTCTGGAGATGTTTAGAAAGTTAAGTGAGTAGCACTGGTTATTTTAAAAAGTGCCAATTTATCACACTCACCATTACTGGTCTTTCAATCTCCATAAATTGCAAGCCTCAGTGTTACCTTAATAAAATATGGGAAGCAGCACCATTCCTGGTGGTCTCGCAGTTAAGTTTTGGCACTTTCACACCGCGGTCTCTGTTCGATTCAATTCTAGCTTAGGCAATGACAAAAATATTGGAAAAGTGCAGTGCGGGGCCAATTTTGTGGACCAAAATGCTTAGGCAAAACTTGCATGAAACCTTAAACTGACCCACTGAACATTTCACAGCTCAGCAATTTTATTAGGTTTCTTCTTCATACTTTTTGAGTATGAGACCTAAAAATGGCTCAGTGAGCTCAATGAAACTTCTGGGTGAATGTTCTAAGCAACAGGCTTTTTGCCTTAACTAATCTTAGTTTTAAGAATAAAGGAAACAGGATTATGGGATAGAAAGTGGATTCAATAAGCATCAAATTGATGAAAAAGCAGAAAGAGAAAGATAGATTGGATGGGGGAGGAAAATTAGGTATTTCATAAACCTGAAGTGTTCAGGAATGACAATTTTAGTCCCTTATGATTTTAAAATTCTCATTTACATTTTCAAATCTCATCACAGCCTCACCCTTTCCAGGTCCCAAACCTTAGATTTGAATTGCTCACATTTCCAGCCTTTTGAACATTCCCAATTTGAATTGCTCAACCTCTGGTTGCTGTACACAGTTGCCCAGGTCCTAAACTCTAGAATTTCCTTGCTGTATATCTACACCCATCTGTCTTCCTTCAGACATTCCACATAATCTCTTTAAAGTACTTGAGGTTTGGCACGATGTAGATTGATATCATATTTTGTTTTATAACACATTGCAGTGCCTTCAAATATTTTGATATGGTAAAGGCATTAAAAATCTTTCAGACCATGAACTCAATTCTCCATTTATTATGCCCTCTCCCCAACACCCATGTTTTGTTTGCATGGGCATGTCTCAATGGAGTAGACCTACTTTCTACTATTAGCACCTATTCTCCATTCTTGTCCTCCTCTATAACCATTATCACTGCCTTTGTCTTTTGCTCACGATTTATCATCTGTTCACTTGCTCACCCTCCTTTGCCAACTCCCTATTTATTTCAGAAGCCCCTTCCCCTCCCCCATTTCTGATGAAGGGTCTAGGCCCGAAACGTCAGCCTTTCTGCTCCTCTGATGCTGCTTGGCCTGCTGTGTTCATCCAGCCCTGCACCTTGTTGTCTCAGATTCTCCAGCATCTGCAGTTCCTACTATCTCTGATTCTATTTTTCAGCCCTATTCAGTTCCAAAACAAAAATCATGTTGGTCTCAATGTTAACACTGTCTCTTCCACCACAGAGATTATGGTTGTACAGCACTTTTTGTTTTTAACTTCCAATGCCCAGCAGCCACGATATTTTGCTTTTATAAAAATAACATTGTTGTTTCTAGGCTGAGGTGGTTGAATGACATTGCAAGAACTTAAATTTCATCAAAGAAAAGGGTCTCACATTGCAATAAGCTTAATGTACACTTATCGTGTTATTATCACAATGTCTTTACATTCTTGGGGAGTTGGGCAAAGATCTCCCCTCTTTGTAACACAATAATGTCAGTCGTGTAAACTGTTCAGCAATTTATGGAGGACTTGTAACTCAGCCTCTCTTCCTCATCACAAATTGCTGGGTTGTTTCCATGCTAACAATGTGCACACTAAGCCCACTTTATTTTCTCAAAAATAGTGATGCATTATTGTGTGTTTAGAGCAGTTGTCTTTTTTCTCCAGATTTTAGCCACCTGGCTTTCCGTAATTCACAGCAATCAGTTGATTATGAATATAATAATTGAATTGCTCTAGATAGTAATGATAAGTGACAATAAAGGAACATTGCACAATTTACTGAAACTTTCTATAGCATATCAGCTATAGTTTTGCTCATGGAGGTGGCTGTTGCTGGAAAGGCCAACATTTGATGCCCATCTCTAATTACCTTTGAGAAAGAGTCTTGAGATGTCTTCATGAACCACTACCATTCATATTCCCACAATGTTGTACCATGTCCTCAAGGCATTGAAAATGGATCCATTTAAAACAAAACTTGATTTTAGCTGGACTTAGAACATGCAAGTGGGCTAAAGTTCAGCAATTTATAGAAACCTTCAAAGATAACCCTTCATTCCTGTGGAATTTCACAGCTATAAATTTGCAAAGGCAATTAGACAGTGAGGGTACAGACTTTTCATCTCTGATCCCAAACTGATGAAGGGAGAGTCAGGAAACATCGTTATGTCTACAGTGGTGCTGGAGGCCCCAGATATTGCCTATAACATAATAGCTCTGATGCAACATATCAAAACAACCTAGTTAGCCATACCGATTCATTCTGGAGCCATGTCGCATGGCTGGTCTTTAAATAGCATTACAGGTAATTATACTTTTCTGAACCCGTCTGCTTTCAACATTGGAACAGGGAAAAGCACGTAGTTATAAGCTTGGTGCAAGGCTGCCTCTAATATCACCACTGTTGAAACCTGATTTCTAGGAAGAATCATGTATTGATTTGAAAAAGGAACTAATTCCCAGTCTACAATAAAAACCAAAAGAACTGCGGATGCTGTAAATCAGGAACAAAAACAAAGTTGCTGGAAAAGCTCAGCAGGTCTGGCAGCACCGGTGAAGGTTCTGAGAAAGGTTCACCGGACCCGAAACGTTAACTCTGTTTTTTCCTTCACAGATGCTGCCAGACCTGCTGAGCTTTTCCAGCAACTTTGTTTTTGTCCCAGTCTATAATAATCATTCTGTATGTTCTTCATATGCAAAGCTCCTCAAAATAAAAAGGAATTCTGCAAGATCAGTCAAGAACTATCACTGGACATTGATTCAGCAGACTGCAATTCATGCAAATGAAACCCTATATCTCTGATTCAAGGTATTCCTAGTTGTAAGTTATTTTCATTTCTCCCTTGTATGTGCATTGCAATAACTGTCCCCAGGTTGAGCGTGCATTAATAAATCTTATTTGTTTTAATTCTAAAGAGTTTGCTGTGGGTTATTTTGAAATGGGCTTGGAGGAAATATTCCCCTTTAAGAATAGGCTGTGATCAGTTTGAAAAAAAATCTGTTTACAGTCAAAAGAGGACCATTATAAAATAATGTAATTCACTGTCCCTTCAGGGCTGAGATGCTAAAGCAGTGATATAATTCAAATAGCTCGTTATGAATGCATATACTGTCACTCTTCAAAGTTTACTGTTTATTGAGCAAAAAGTTAACTTCAGCAAAGGTGAATTACAATATTTATTAACAGAAGTTGCTAGTAGAGTATTCACTGCATTTCAAAAGCTAGTTAGATATTTGATCCAGGGTACAGGAAAGACAGTCTTGTGGCCCAGCTCAAAAAAAAGTAGGAAGAGCAATTCCGATTCTGTCAAATCACTTCACTCCCTCCAGATCAGAGTTGTTGCCATAAGAACTTGCAGATAGAGGGCACTTATAATCCACTTTCCCTTTTATATGCAGATCCCATACCACCACCTGGTTTAAAACTGGTTTTAGTTGATCCAGTGATTGGGTCGGTATTGATGAATAAGACAACATAATGGATTAGTCACGTTTTCATGGTCAAAAGCAATCTTCCTAAAACAACCCATTGTATAGTCACAAGGAATGAAAGTGATTCACCATTGCCAACATTGAAGGAGACCAGTGAAAACTGGTAGCAGAAGTAGGATAAGTTAGTGCCCCCATTCATGGGCAGGTTCTGTCATTGGTTAAGGCAGTATTTATTGCTCATCCCTAATTGCCTCCCTCCTAGGCCACTGTAGCACTTGGGGTCCAGAGTGTAGGGCTCTTAGGAATAAAAAAGGTACCTAGTTCCCGATTGGCGGTTATGAAGCCCACTTTAAATAAAATTGTTTAACTTCAATGGGAGAAAGACTGCAAGAAGAAAAGTTTGTTTTTTGGAAAATAAAAATCAAACAGCCTGGTGAAGGTGTGACAGACGCTAACTTTGTTGACATATAAAGATCTCATTGATTGACATCCCTCAACCAAGTCATCCCAGACTGACACTCTCCCTTCCCAGCTCCACAGCCATAAGTGTACAGTTGCCCTTCATCCTGAGAAGTGTAAAGTAGCCTCTCACCTTGGTCCCCAGCAGGATCTGGATGTCCATCTCCTGTTTCTTCTTCTCCAGGAGGCTGAGCAGGTATTCCTGGAAGACCCCGACCTTGGTGAAGAAGTGCTCGTTGTGCCAGCACCCTTCCATGTTGTCAAAATCGACGTCGAGCTCGAGCAGGAAGCGGACGCTGCAGGGGTCCAGGGCGATCTGCTGGGGTCGGGCCAGCAGAGCGGTGCGGCCGCGCTCCTCCAGCAGCACCAAGCGCTGCACTTTCCCGGAGCGGGCGGCGATGAGAGCGGCGGTCAGCCCTACTGGACCCGAACCCACGATCAGCACCTTGACCCGGGCTCTCCACTGCCGGTAACCGTCCACACTCACTTTGAGCAGCACGTAGACCAGCACCGCCACTAAAGTGCTCAAGGCTGTATCATACGCCAGAGTCTGGTATTCCTCCATCGCTGATGTAGTTACATTGAACCAGCCCTTGTTAAGATCAGTGCATGGCATGTCACTACCAATAGCCCAGGGATAATCTCTCACGCAGTTGCAGAGAATCTCTCCATTTCTGCGCTCTTCAGCGCTCTCTGGTCCTGAGGTAGTGAAGAGGACCGTCTCAACTCACACTCCAGCCAACAAACACACACACACACATTACATACACAAACGTCAACTCTGCAGACTAGAGCCACAAACACAAGCTGACGCATGTACAATCCTCAAAAAAAAAACTTTCAATGAGCAGCTTCCGCACATTCAAACTCAACGCACGGAAACAGAGAAAAAAAAAACAAAATCTCAACAATTTTCAAGCGATCAATTGGCAAGATCGAATCAAACACGTCCTTCCCCACGTCAACCGGTCAAACTGTGAAGTCAGACAAGTGAGGAATGTTAATTACAACTCCCGCGATTTGCACGTGTCTCTGTGTGTGTGTGTGTTTCTATTTAATCATCATTTCATTTGTTCCAAAGCTTTGTTGCAATTTGTGTCTCGTTTATATATATATATAGGGAGTTGCTACAAAAAAATTCTACTGCATTTTTCTTCTCAATCTCTCTCCCGGTTTGCGCCAAATCCATTCGAGATTCTCAATGAATCCAAAATGAACCCCAGTTAGCGCCACTTGAACCAGACCCCCTCGTGTGGTCATTGAGCGGTCGACTCGGGACAGCAAGAAATGTGGGAACGGCGAATCATTTCTGAATGGAAACTGAAATTCTGTGTTACTTGTCCAGCCAAAAGATCAGGCTGGTTTGCCAAGTAATGTTGTTTTGTTTGTATTAGGATTCCAGTGCGCTTGTTTGCACATAAACCACATGTTTCACAAAATTATATACTCCTGCCACATAAACAGAAGCTGCTGGAAAAGCTCAGCAGGTCTGGCAGCATCTGTGTCGAAAAAAATCAGAGTTAACGTTTCGGGTCCAGTGACCCTTCCTCAGAACCGAAACGTTAACTCTGACTTTTTTTTTCACAGATGGTGCCAGACCTGTAGAGCTTTTCCAGCAATTTATGTGTATGTTCCTGATTTACAGCATCTGCAGTTCGTTCAGTTTTTATATACTCCTGCCAGCCTGATCCTGTGTGCGGTAGGTTTTGTTTTGGGAGACACTGATATTCTTATTAGGGTCCCTGGCAATGTGAGATTGTGCAAAGCCATATGGATTGCAGTTATACCACAGGTTTACCTGGTGCATCATTCAGAAGGAGGTGCAAATGCAATTGGAGGGAGAGCTCTTGTGGCGCAGACTGTTCTCCGTATCTCAGAGCCAGAAAACCTTGTGTTCAAGCCCCTTCCACCCACCTTTCTACAGAGGTGTCTAATAACAACCCGAAGCAGGTTGACTAAAAATACCAAAAGCAAAGGTTAAAGGAGAAGCATGCCCCAGGCTATAAGAAACCCAGGAATAGATATTGCTTTCAACCCATGGCTTCCCCCCCACCCACACTTAGTGTTAACCAATTGGCAATTGATTGTCTCATGCACAATGGACTTAATTGCAAGATTGTGTGCTTTTTTTTCGTTCATCCATAGGATGTGACTGCCAAAGGCCAGCTCAGCATTTACATCCCATTTCTATCAGCCTTAGGAAGGTGGTGGTGAGTGGCCTTGTTGAACCGTTGCATTAGGGGTGTAGAGCCGCCCACAATGCTGTTGTAAAGGGCATTCCCGGATTTTGACCCAGCCATGCTGAAAGAATAATGACATATTTTACAGTCTGAATGCTGAGTGGCCTGGATGGAAAATTGCTGGTGGTGGGGTTCCCATGTATCTGCTGCCTTTGCCCTTCTAGCTGGTAAAGCCATAGAGGTGTACAGCATGGAAACAAACCCTTCAGTCCAACTCATCCATGTCGACCAGATATCCTAAATTAATCTGGTCCCATTTGCCAGCACTCGGACCTTATCCCTCTAAACCCTTCCTATTCATATCCCAATCCGGGTGCCTTTTAAATGTTGTAATTGTACTATCCTCCTCACCTCCTCTGGCAGCTCATCCCATACACACTGCGTGACAAAGTTACCCCTTAGATCCCTTTTAAAGCTTTCCCCTCTCACCTAAAAGCTATGCTCTCTAGTTTTGGACTCCCCTACCCTGGGGAAAAGATCTTGGCTAATTGCCCTATCCATCCAGTCGAGGGTTTGCAAAGTGCAGTTGAAGGAGTGGTAATTGTTTGTGATGCGAAACATCATTGTCGTGCTGAGACAATGATCAGCAGAAAGGTGTCGACCATATCTCACTCGGTAGATCTCCTATGTCTGGAAGGTTATTGGTTTAAACCTTTTTCCAAGAGACCGGAGTCTAAAATCCACGCTGAGGCACCAATGAGATAAGGCTGAGCCACATGAGTCCATCTGGGAGGATAGATAATTCAACAGAAAGCATTGTAGTGCTTTCTGCATGCTTAGCAGTGAAGGTACAGCCATTCTAACGGCAATGACAGTCACTTGGCTGCAAAATGAGCTCACCCACATCCTAAACAAGTTACCACCATGAGGCATTTTCTTAAAAGCAGATAAAACTGGAATGTTGTGCAATGATGTAAAGTAAAGCAAGGAATGTATCACTGCTATGGCCTGTGCCAACACGGATGCCATTGAAAAAGCTGCCACCACTCATGATAGGACATTTCAACCAGCCTCGTTTCTTTGCAAATGTAAAGGCACTACCCATCCACTATGAGGCTAACAAAACTGCCAGGATGATCTCCAAGGTGTGGATCAGGAAAATGGACAAAATGCACCAATGGAAGAAAAGGAAGATTATCATCATTGCAGACAACTGTCTCGTGCACCCTGACTTCGCTGGCCTCAAGACTGTCAAACTGATGTTCTTGCCTCCCAATATCATGGTGAAGCTCCAGCTAATGAATCAGGGAGTGATTGGGAACGTAAAAACACATCTGCCAATAGCAACTAATGTCCCAGGTGGTTGGAGCCATCAATAAGGAGCAGAAATATAATTCAGTTGTTCTGGAGGCTGTGTTCTGATGAAAGAGGCATGGCAGATATTGATGGATTGCCACTCTTGCCAGCTGCCTCTGCCAGGCTGGGTTCCAATGGGCTAAAACTGTGCAAGACTAGGAGGAAGGAGGTGAGAACGACCACCCTGTTGATGAGACCCCTTTTGGCTTGCTTGTGGGGGCTAGTTTGGAAACTCCATTGGATTTAAGCATAAGACCTGACAGTCAGGTGGACCCCACCATAATGGATAATGGATCTAACAGACGAGAGAATCATACTACAAGATGTTCTTCAACTGACAAAGCTGGTGAGCCTGAAGAGTCTGATGAATGACCACCGGTTCCCCTGTCTGAAACCGCAAGGCCTGTAGAAATCCTCTGGGATTTCTCACTGCAGTGCTGAAAACACTCTAACTTAACTGATGGCATAGCAGACTGTGTGGCACTCGTCTGAAGACAGCACATTAAGCAGAAAATGATAACTGAGTCTTTCCAGATCTAACTCCCAATATTTGTCAATGTCTTTTACTCTACAAGGTCCGGTCATTGTAGAGTGTGAACAAATTGAAAACTGAAGACACATTTTCACATATTTACAGCTTCACAGTGTTTTCATGTTTTTTACAAAGAGCATGATTGCAGGTAAATCAGGTTACAAAGGGGTTTCTCTGGGTACCTAGTCTCTACACTTAAAACAAATTTGTGGGCAGGCCCCTTTCAATATGGCATATCCAAAGTTTTCACAGTTTGTAAATACAAGTATTTCATTCAAATGAAAGCAACAATATTTAAGAAAACTTTAGTTTAGGTGTCTGAGCAGACAAATATCAGGGGAGGGGCAAGCACAGAATTATTCTCCATTCCTAGTATTTCCTTGAGCAGCTATGCTCCACTTGTGAAGGTTATTTTCTTCTGAAAGATACAACAAAAACTCTCATGACTAGACAAGTTGTCCAATTATGTATTTTCACCTAAATTACATCTTGTAGGCCAGTTGTTCCATACAATTTAGCTTCATAAGATTACAATAAAAAGCAAAAAATAAAGAATAAGAAAGCTCCCAAAGTTGAAGATCTTCCTCTATTAATTAAGGTCAAAGGGGAGATCCTGGAATATTTTTTATCATTTTGTGTATCTCACAAGCTTCCTCTCAACAATGCAGACAAGGAAACAATAAAATTCATCGCCTCTCCTCATGTGAAAGCTCAGTCTTTTGTAGACTGAGGAAAAGAATGTTTGAGGACTAAGATCTTGTGCTAAAGTCTAAGGTTTTGTTTAATGGGCAGCAAAGATCCCCATGTTCCTAAATACTTTGAACACTTCGATTGTACAGCAGGAAACTCAAAACACTGAAGAAGTAACAACATTGGTACCTGTGCAAGACCCTCAATCTCACTGCAGTGAAAGGTGATTCAATAACAGGATCCTCTCCGAAGCCAACATGTCTCCTGTGTCGGTACTCTGTGGTGGTGTATCCATTATCACTAATATTTAGGCCCAAGACAAAGCAATGTCAAAGGAATATTGGTGGCAGCAGTGGTAAATGCTACAAGTGAACAGAACTGATCATCTGGGAAAATACTATGTTGAACCAGAGTTGAAACAAATTATCCTCAATCCCAAGGAAATTCCTAAGACAGAAATGGAGAAGATAATAAATATAAACAAGCAAAACGAAGACCCCTCCTGTCTTCATAGAAACTCTGCAGAGTGGAAGCAGGCCATTTGGCCACTCAAGTCCACACTGACCCTCTGAACATCATCCCACCCAGACTCACCCCATGCCTGTAACCCTGCATTCCCCACGGTTAATCCGCTTATCCTGCACAACCTGGAGGCCACGGGTAATTTAGCATGGCCAATCCACCAAACTTACACATCTTTGGACTGTGGGAGGAAACCAGAGCACCCGGAGGAAACCCACGCAGTCACAGGGAGAAAATTCTGCACAGTTGCCCGAAGGTGGAATTGAGCCCGGGTCCCTGGTGCTGTGAGGTATAATGCTAACCACGGAGCCACCATTCTGCCTCTTGGGTATTGGCTGTGACATGAGGGGCAGCATTCCCACTTATGATCTGGAAGGTCCCGATCCTAGATCCCATTCCTCCAGATACAGGAGCGTGTCATTTGGATTGACAATCCACTGTTGCCCTGTTGGAGGAACTATTTTCTGAATGAGACATAAGTGCCCTTTAAGACATAGAAAAAGCACCATTAGATTTTTTTTTATGAACAGAAGGATAGTTTATCACATTGTCCTGACCAACATTTATTCTTCAACCAATATCACAGAAACAGATGATTTGGTCATTTGCTGTATTTAAATTGGCTGCTGTCTCCCACAGGACAACAGTAGTTACATTTCAAAAGTTACTGCATTG